AGGTTCCTGCACAGACACGGCCGGGGTGCCCGAGCAGGACAAGAGATGGACTGATGTGATTATTTTCCTTCTTGATTCGTATTACACTTGTAATTTCGTCTCGGCGTGCTGGAATCAAGCGGTTTCTGCAGGTGAATTTTATTCTAGAGTTATTACTTTCTCTGTGTTTTGTTTTCTTGTAGCCGGGTCTCTGATGACCACGAAGCACTCGCAGCCACAGTCTACGTTAGCAAAAAGTCTAACTGCAACGAGTACAAATACTCCGTATTCTAAAGTAGCAGGTATGATGTTATGCTGTCCCATTGTTTTTCTCCTATGGACCTTTTTCTTTAGTATCTTGAGTTTAATAATAAAGTCTTAGAAACCTGTACGTACATTCACAGTGGTAAAAGACGTTTTGGTATAACACATGATGAATTGCTCTGCAGCGGCAATTCATTTGGATTTTATAATTAGAAAATTGGTTCATATAAGATCTTTCAACTAGAAATGAGCAGATAGACTGCTGTCGTGGTTCTTGTGTTTTATACCCTCTCGGCATGCTGGAAGTCCATGGAAGGCTCCAGCGTTCTGCAAGAACTTATTACTGTTCCCTGTCGGACATAAATAGAGGTGGTGTAGCTCGCTAAGGAGAGCATCAGGATTGGCTGAAACGCTCTTCTTGATGGTGATTTAAGCGATGATTCTGAACACATAAAACCAGCAAAGCAAATGGCTGAGCAACCTGTAACCTTAATTAGACCTGAACCAAAAGTAGGTTACATGTGTCACCCTGCCTCTTTACCTAAACTGGTTCATTCCGCTGAGAAATGCTGGCTGAGGCGGCCCTAATCCACGCTAAGCTCTGTTCTGGTGTTGTTCTTAATTGTGCTGCTCTGTTGTCCTGGACTGAACTTCCGTGAGATCCTTGCAGGGTGCGCAGCCGTGGTATGGACCTCGCTGGGCTGACACGGTGGTTCTCGTGACACAAACTCATCATCCTGTTGGCTGTGTCATAAGGAAAGCCCTTTGCGCAGTGTCAGTGCGTGTGTGTGTGTATGTATGTATAAAAATACATATATATATGTACACACTTTAGATTATATAGCTTTTTTCGTTTGCTTTCTTAATTTTATTCACATATTTCACCTTTCAGAAAGTACAGAAATTCCATCTTACGTGACTAAATGTCCTAGCAATGGGCTCTGCAGTAGATTGCCACCGGACTGTATGACCTGTAACACCAACTATTCCTGTGTATATGGGAAGCCGGCCACTTTTGATTGCAAAGTCAAGCCACATGTTCATTGCGTTGTAAGTAACTTCTTACCCGTAAGCCCAAATTTAAGTCATTTATAATTATGCTGTGGTATCTTCTCATAAAATATTAAAAAATTGATTTCCAGGTTCTTACTAGGCAGGTTTGCAGATCTGCAGTAGGTTTAATCGATTCGGCTGCAGGCCGTTGCTGAAGAGTCAGACGTGCCCTTCTCTATTTCACCTTTCTTGCATTGGATCTTTTTGTTACACAGCTGTACAACCGAGTTAAATCTATTTGTTGGCCAATCAAAACAATCATTTTGAGAGTGGGCCGGCTAAATATATGTCAGAGGTGCACGCTGATCTTACAGGTGAGATTGAATGAGTCCCCCTTTTGGGCAGTAGCCTTGGATTGGAGGAAGCGCTAATCTTAAACCTGTGTTTTAATAACTCTTGGCTGGGTTTCTGATGTTGATTTTCCACTTGGCTACGCAAAGGTAGCAAAGAGAGTAATTGTTACTTTGGCCAAACATCTGCGCATGAACTGCCATTTGATACTGCGTGCTGTGAATTGTTTCATTACTCATGAAGTGCTAATGCTGTCTTTCCTAGGATGAGAGTAACCATGAGCAGGAGAACTTTACAGTTAACATGACGTGCCAGTTTTGCTGGCAGCTTCCGACAGCTGACTACATATGTACCAATTCTACAAACTGCATGACTGTGTTGTGTCCGCGACAGCGATACAATGCCACTTGCACAGTACGGGATCATATCCACTGCCTAGGTAAGGTGGGCTGAAACACATTCTGTAAAGAAGCTTTTTTATTTTTTTTATTTTTTTTTCCCTGAAGAATTTCTTACATTTTTTTGTGATGGATAGGCACAATGATTGTTTATATCCATTGCAGAAACAGCTTGGATCTTGGTTACTGAGCTTTTTTACAGTTATATTTTAAATGTTAAGCGTAATAGTGACTGTAAACATTGGCTTTTAATACTGTTGTATACCTTTGCACGAGAGAAGATAGTTCTATTTTTCTCAGCTTTTGTGAATTACACTAGTTGGAACACAACTAATAGAATCAATGTCAGACGTCTCAATAAGAAAATTAAAAAACCCACCACGCTCCTTTCACCCAACTGGTTTAATTTCCTCGCTCTTTGTTCAGTGCCCTTTTGTGTTTTCTGGTGTGCCGAGCATACACAAGCTTTTGTATTCACGGTGTTTGAGTTAGTGTCAACCCTGTGAGACTCTTGTTAGAGAAACTCAGTATCTTCTTGCTTGTACTTTTCATGCTGATTAAGTGATCTTTGTATGTTACATTAAGGTTTGAATGTTTTCTAATGTTTAGGTAATCGTATCTTTCCCAAGATGCTCTATTGCAACTGGACTGGAGGTTATAAGTGGTCTACTGCCCTGGTGCTCAGGTACCCGAGAACTATTAGATCATGTCGAGCTGAAATAGGTGATATTACTGGAAACAGATTAATGGTCTACAAAATCTTCAGTCTGTGTGGTTTTCTGCTCATTATTTTTTAGTGGTGTACTGAATAACCGATGTTTCCTTTAGTCTAGCTTAGGATCTGGAGGCACAGAGTGCCTGAGGTTTTCATATGCAACAACACGACCTGTCGGCAGTAAATAGAGCTTGAGGGAGAACATTTATGCTGTGTCTGCTTCGAGTGTTCTTTCTTCAGAGTAAATGCCAATGATTCCTAGGCTTCACGTAGGGAGGACACGTTGGCTTTTATTCTGTATGAGGTATAAATGCTCAAAAAACCCTGCGGATTCCTCCCAGGTTCTTTGCCTGGTTTTTTTTTTGTCATGTTTAAACAAGCAGGGCTGAGAACTGTCAAAATTACTTCTTGACACCTGAAATGAATGCAGCTGTTTCTGAATGTGGCAGGTGTCACTGTTGGTGTACATTTGGTATGGCTTCCTTCCCAACTGTAACAGCTAGAAGTGCCTTCAGGTGAAGTTTCTTGCATGCGTTTTAAATTATTGGGAAGAGCAGTATTGAAAGAATCTAGGTTATTTTGGGGATGTTAATACCATGGTAGTAGTTTGAAAGTCGCTCAAGTTCTTTTGGTGGCAAGACATTTTCATGAAATTTTAATATTTCAAAATGATTGCTGTGATACATTAGGTAGTGAGACTCTATTCCTGGAGCCAAAGATGAAAGAAAGCAATCTAACGCTTTCCTTTATAGCAAGAGTTGTTCTCTCTCCTGGAGAAACTTCCTAGTGTTGCCTGACCACTGCGTGGGGCTGAGTGTTCTGTTTGAGTCTGTTCCTGTAGGCTTTTTGTTGTTGTTTTTTTTTAGCTTCTGCTAGCTTAGAAAAGTTGAGACTCGTTTATAAATTTGGGAGTTTTGTTTTTTATTGCTTGTCGTGAATGAAAAAGCGCCAAGGCTCTGGATGGCATTAATTAGCTAAGGAACAGTGCTATTCCATCACGAGTTTTCTCATTTAACAACTGTCAGCTCTTCTTGCACCAAATTGTATATAGTTTCTTGGGTGATGTAGAGCAAAACTCATTGACTTGTAGGTGTGACAGAAAGAAGCGTGTGTGGATACCCAGACCGGGTTCCTCTAAAAACGGTAATAACGGGTCATGTTTTTATTCTTCCAGCATCACCCTGGGTGGATTTGGTGCCGATCGTTTCTACCTGGGCCAGTGGCGGGGAGGGCTGGGGAAAGGAAAACTCTTCAGCTTTGGTGGACTTGGAATATGGACGCTGATTGATGTGCTGCTGATCGGTGTTGGCTATGTGGGACCTGCAGATGGTTCTCTCTATATTTAAATGTGTGTTTCGGAGAGGAGTAATCGCTTGGAATGGGCTCTAAAAAAGGAATGTAGAGCTTTGAGCCTTTAAGGTCGAATGAAGAACATCTGTTCTTTCTATGTGCATACGTTTCAATGTACAGTATCTGTACTTAGCTTGCCTTTAACTAAGGTGAAATAAAAGAGTGGGTCACTGAGTGTGTTGAAATTAATTTTCTTTCGTCTGTGGGCGTGCTCTTTTTCTGTGAAAACGTTGAGCAGCTGTCCGGATTCCACACCGCTCTCGGACCTGAGCAATCGCTGAAAGAGATGCAAACTGACGTGAATATTGAGTTGTTTGCGTCATATCTGTATGCTTGGATTTACCCTTAAAGCTAGCTTCCCTAAATATGTCAGTAATTTACTTTTTTTTTGTATTTGTGGGAGGATAATTCATTTGTGTGTGGATCACCGGGTTTTACGGTGTGTTCATCTCGGGTTTGGGATGTAGCCGGGGCTAACGTTTGCTTTGACTTGAAATCGGGTTTTTTTTAGAATTAGGCTGCAGTAACACTAAAAGCTAAACATGACGTACCTGCAGTCGGTGTTAGGGTTGTCCCTGGCTGTCGCTGTCGGGG